CACACACACACACACACACACACGTCTTCTTCAAACAAGATATTAGACTAAATACCAAGCATTGACACAGACTGAGCATAACAAGAGTAAAATGCCGCTGCCTTTGTCTCTTCTGTCACCAGCAGTGGCAGCTGCACAGCTGCACGCCCTCCTCCCTGCTCCTCTGTACCGCATAACAACTACACAAAACCCCTGTTCAAACTCTACTATACCAACCATAACACAAATCAAACACATCTGATCCAGGGCAAACCATACACGACTCAACCATTTCGAAAGCCAGCCTAAGTAAGCCAAACCAAACTGACACTAAACCTGAGGCTTGCACAAGTACATTAAAGCCAATCTGACTGAGTGCAAACAAACCTCATGCAAATGAATGTAATCCAAGTTAATCTACTGAGAAATATCCCAGCCAGGACGCCACTGATTTCCAATGGTCTGTTTAAATACTTGCATTTGTTTTCTAGTGCTGCGTAAAGGCTGGATGGAGGCAAGAGCAACAAATAAGTGAGAAATAAAAGGAAAAATTAGTTTTGTACTTTCTCATGTGTAAATTCAAAAAATATAAATTAATGTGTGATCGGAGACTGCTTTTGTTACTTTGGATTGTGTTTTGCTGAAGACACATCCAGAGCAAATTTCCCACGCGGACGATAAAGTCTATGTCATCTCAACACTGAAACTCTCCATCCACACAAGCTTCGGCCACAAGAACAGCTTCAGTGTTTCATGGCTTAAGATCTGGCCATTTCCCCTTCATGTGATTCCCATCATTTCAATATTTATCTGCATTTGTTATGCTTCATTAATTAGGATTTTTCTCTGTCATATCCCCAAACAGACATGCAGATGGGAACAAACATTCGGTCTATCTCAAATAAAGACATCATCCGCAGCTATTACCTGGAGTGTTGAGCAGTCTGGACTTCTGACAGCTGTAGACGATCTGCTGCTCACAGTATTCTGCGCTGGTGGTGATAGCGGTCACCTGCAAACACACGAGCGTGGACACGTATACTTTTATTTCTATGCCATTCAACCAGACAGGTCAATTTAATGAAAAGGACAAATTATCAAGCCTCAAAATGAAACAAAAGTGCACGGTAATATTGTTTTGATTTGAAGGATCTGAAAATGGAACGAGCAATCTATACAAATTAGGAGGGAACGTAATTACAGGACTGATCCACCACACAAGCCCTGTCATCTTACGTGACTCAGTCGTCGTGTACACTCTGCAGGTGGAAACGGCTGTCACTCCTCACTGGAGGGCTGAATGCTGTAAAGCTCGCACGCAGTTTGCTTTTGACGGAGAGTGACAGCTGCAATCTATAACCACTCGCCACAAAGATTAGAGATTTGACTCCTGAGCGTGAGGGAGCAGACTCACGGTAGTTTCAGTCATACGCTGCAGAGTCAGAGCAGCGTGTAGAGGCCTGAGGTGATACACTTGTTATTATGTTGGGTTATTATTAAGCATTAGAAAGAATTAAGACTGGATGAGTGGAGGGGGCTGCAGCCTGAGTGTGGATTATGCATTTTACATACAACGCTGCTGTTGGTGTAGATTTGTCAAAGCTATGACATCAGACATATTGGTTTGTAGCTTGAATGTTACAGTGGTTACAGACTCCATAAAAGGTTATGTTTTCATCTGACGGTCAGCAGGACTGCTCAAAAACTGCTGATCTAATTTTCATGATAATTTGTTGGCATATAACCCAAGGAAGAAATCAACACATTTGGAGTCGGATTAGGATAAACGGGTGAACCAGGAGCTTGTTTTTTATTCTTGTTCGTTTGTTATTTAACATTTAGCCTTGGCGAAAGAGTGTGCTGTCTGAACACCCGTCTCGTTTATTCTGTGTTTTTACAGCCATCACACTTTCCAGGGAAAATGACTCACTTCACTCTCATTGATAATAACTGCAGAAAGGGGGGATTCTCATATTAACAATAACAAGCAATAACATCAGAATATGATGTTATCTGATTTTTGATTATCATTTATTAAGGATTAGAAAACTCTAACCAAACCCAATCAAGGTTCATTCACACAGCTCTGCTCACACACACAAGGTGCTACTGTTAAATTTACCCAAATATCTCAAATAATTACCTGTAAACCTTTGAAGAGCTGACACTGAGTGATGTTGTTTGGCACCACAGAGTTCAGCCATGAGAGAAGTGACATATATTTACAGTTTATAGAAACCATTGATTTTTTGTCTCTGCAGTTTTTAGGGACCAGAAACTGTGTAGATGTGACTTCATAACTTAAAGGTAGACGTTCTTCACAAACCTGTGCTGATGCTTGTTCAGGACGAAGCTATATATATATATATCTACTAAGGTATGTGTGTGTGTGTGTGTGTGTGTGTGTGTGTGTGTGTGCGTGCGTGCGTGCACTTCCACACTTGACTGAGCCTAGCAGGGACTGGAAAAGGGCAGGTCTCGCTGCCTTGCAGGACAGCAGAGACAGAGGACAAGGAGTCTGCATGTGCCCATTTATTTATAGCTGAAGTACNTATTCTTTTATTCATAGTAAGTGTGGGGAAGGTGTCAAATTTCTTACCTGGTCCATAGAGGCACTGTAGTTGACCTGCAGGACGGTGCGTCTCTCTCTACTTGAGCCAGTCACTGTGGTTTTGGGTGGCAGGTTGTTCATAACTGTCGTCCACACTTTGTCCTCTTCACACAAAAACACACACATTTTACACTTTAACTTTTACAACATTTGCATTACCACTATTAACACTAGAACACCTCATCTTTTACTAGTTGTACGTGAAATGTTCATATTAACGTTTTCATATTTTATGAAATTGAAGCAGAGAACAAATAAATTAATTCTTTAGAATCGCAGTTTTATCAAAATTTAGAAAATCAAAATGTATGCAGACACATTACCACAGAGACATGCAGTTGTCATGGCACTGAAGTTTCCTCTGTGTGTTGCAGCTCCAGGGTTTAACAGACTCTTGTGCACTGTTATAACATAAGCCAGTCACTCAGACATCTCCCTGTTCATTCACACTGTCAGTCGTGGAATGTGAGGTGTGTGTGTATGTGTGAGTGTGTGTGTGAGTGAGTGAGTGAGTGAGTGAGTGAGTGTTCAATTCAGTGTGACCAAGGGGCTAGCCGGCGGACGGCAGTGACATTTCATTAAAAGTCTCGCCTTTGCTCCGTCTGCGTGCTCTTCTGTTGCAGACTATCTACTTATTCAACCGTGTGTGTGTCTGTGTGACAGAAGTGTCACTCAGACCATTGGAGCACTCTCAAGTTTACATAACAATTCAGTTTCATATGTGTTTGTGGCATATGTGTGTGTGTGTGTGTATTCTTCTTCACAGTTAAATGTCAGCTGGGACAGCGTTGCCATGGAAACCCCAGGTATTGCAGGTTAAGAATGCTGCTTTCTAAGGTTAAGAATGTGCAGCGCTGCAGAGTCCCCCCCCCTCACAGGTCACTGTATCTGGATGGAGTCGGGTAGTGTGAACACACTGCATGCGTGCGCACACACACACTGAGAACAATACTTTCAGGCACTCCCGCGCACAAACCTGTCATGTTGCAGGTGACTTTGAAGGGGCCAAGGGGTCCGCTGCCATCAGGGTCAATCCAGTAGGTGTCAGACGACCTGCCCAAATGCTTATAGGCCTCACATGATGGCTCATAGATAGCTGGTGGAGGTTAAGAGGAGAATAGAGGAAAAAATAGGTTGGAGAAATACTCAAAAGTAGGTAGAGGATGGATAACGGGAAACTTTAAGTATAGCTACTGAAGTTATAATGCTAAATGTGAAGAGAAAAGAATGTGAGTGACATATCAGAAAAGTCATATTGTGATTAAATTATCTTAATGTGTTTTTCAGATTTATATTCACTGTGGACACCGTAAATTAACTTAATAAAAAAAAACTTAAATAACACAGGAAAAAGATCTCATTGCTGAGAACGTCAGTATCATGTTGAGATATTCTTTGATATCGTAAAATATCCACATGTTGTGATAATGATTTCAAAGCACTGTGGTTGGATGGACAATGTTGTTTGTTGTGGTCTGAGGCTGCATGGTGGCAATGCTTAGGTCATGGTTTCACCAACAGCGGAGTCAGAAGAGTTGATCCTGTAGTAACTATGAAAGAGATTTGCAGGACATCATAGTGTTAGGAAATAAAAGAAACGTCCTGGGATAGACTTATATCATATGCTACCCACAATGACAATATTAAGACGATAAAGATGAATCACTGCCTGAGAAAGCTGGCATCTGTTTCTCTAAATTTCCATGTCGATATTTCACATCTACATTTTAAATTGTGTAATGGACCATTGATTATATCGTAGAATTTAATGATGGATTTAAAATAGCACATGAATGTCTGCACATGCTCTTTTGTTGCCTCCTCCAGAAGGCAGCTTCATGTGGTTGCCAGTCTCTATTCAGCGCCTGTCAAGAAGTGGTGTCTTGTCCCACACACTCCAGCAATCTATCTGACAACATATTGATGTTGTGTTTGTGTTGATCTACACAGAGACAGACAGAGCGGGGAGAGGGGGAAGAATTACACTTCAGACAGACGGATGTAAGAGTGGAACTTTCTTGATTGAGGCAAAGCTGTTCATGAGTTGAGTTCAAATAGAAACAAATCTCAAACCTTCTTATTGGCTTGTTATTTAAGTTTTTTTCATATGTCTAATCTTTCTGTCGGCTTGGACCCTAGCCTATGGTCATGAGTTAGATAGTGACCCACAAAAATTAATCCATGCATATAAGTGAGGAGTTCAGTCAGCCGAAGGGAGTTCACAGTATAGAGCCGCTGCTGCTTGGCATCAACAGAAGCCTGTTAAGGTGGCCTGGGCATCTTATGGGGGTAAATTAGCTTTTTATTATCTGTTCTTTCTGTTGGCTGGGACCCTCTGCTATGGAAATCAGCTCTGGGTAGTGGCTGACTATAAGATCAAGGATACAAGCAAGCAAAAAGAAGTTTGGTTTGGACATTCGGAGGGAGTTCAAAGTACAGCTGTTGCTCCTTCGTGTTGAAAGAAGCCAGTTAAGGTGGTTTGAGCATCTTATTAGAAAGTATAAGCTTCTCTTTCTGCCGGGTTGGACTATGGTTATGAGCTCTGACTACTACTATTTATTATTATTTTCACTAATGCTTCATCGTTTCCAATAAATTATCTTTTTGATGAGCTGTGTAGGCTGATCGGTGTCAGACAGTGAAAACCACCCATCACAATGTTGTCATGTCATAATGTTACACAACCTGAGGTGATGTCATATTCCTGTCCCTCAAATTGCTTGTCTTGTCCAACAGTCCAAACTACTATATGATGACATGATGGCATAAACAAAGAGAAGCAGCAAATCCTCAAACTCAAGAATATTGACTCAAAGAAAATCTTATATTTTTGCCTGATAGATTAAAATGTAAATTATAATGACCCACCATACTAACAGCATCAACAATTCAACTCAAGCTACTTTCTAAATCATTTCCACAAAGTTTGCTGACTAACAAAAAACAGATTTTAAACAGCTTCACACAAGTTGTCGTTTTAGATTGAACACTCTCTCTCCCTCTTAAAGGAGAACATTTGTAGCACATGGAAGAAGGGATGAACATTTTCAAGCCTTAAAATAAAATCCTTTCTGCCTTTCTTCTCTCTGTTCTCTTTGTGTGCCAGTAATTCTGGTGGATTTCTTCTCCTCAAAGTATGCGTCGCTGTCACAGAAGTCTGTCCCCCGAACACTTCAAAAGTTCATCCTTCGCTCTGCTGAGAATTGTGTCTTTAATGATGTGAAGGTGTACAAAGGATGGCAAAAGAAGAGAAACACGAGGAACACGACACAGTGGTATTAATGTAAGGGACACACAACTGCATGCACACACACACACACACACACACACACACACACACACACACACACACACACACACACACACTCTCCCGTACTTACAAGTGTGACACGTGGCTCCGTTGTATCCAGTTCCGTCACAGGTACAGCTGAAACTGTCCCACGTCTGTTTACACCGCCCACCGTGTTCACAGTTATTAGGCATACACCTGGACAGATGGGGAGAGAGAGATTTAAAGTATCTACTAAACGTGCTGCCTTAAAAGGATGGAAAAAGTACACAAATTATTCTCTACTACAAAGCATCCAAACACTGATTTAATATTGGTTATATTACCTCATAAACTGCCAATTTATATGTTACTTTGGGACATTTATGATGATACTAGAAATATTTATAACTAGAACAGCACTCAAAAGGGCGCATACCTTCACCAAGGCCCAACAGTGCCCTTAAATTTAATGAAGTTGCGCCAAATTTGACCCACTCACAAATTCCCTAAATGTGCCAGATTTTTTCCCCCATCAAGATCCATGATTTATTCCTGGGTTAAGTTATAAAAAATTCCTGATCCTGATCTGCATCAACATTTTATGGGTTCCTTCATGTCACATTCCACAGCTTCCCACCAAGTTTTGTGGAAATCTGTCCGGTTTTTTTTGTTGGTGTAAATTTGCAAATCTTTCTGAACGAAACAACTCACAATGAAATGGACGGACCGTGGATTCTTAGGAGAACACGTCGTGATTAAACAATGACGGTGACTCCTATTGGAAGGGTATAATGTATGTAATGTATACATTTACATAGTATAATGACTATCTCACTCTGTGGTGCAAATTAAATCAGACTAAATTTACATGAAATCCTGATATCCATCCTGAAGAGGAAAACTGGCCCCAGGTGATTGAGGTGGTTTTATTTGTTAACCAAACCTCACACATTGAAATAAACTTTTGAAGTCCAAGAAGGGCGAGGGGCTTCTTTTCTAAAGCAACACCTGAACTGATGTAGTGTGACTGGACATGAAACATTTTCCTCAGTTCAGGTTGGTGCATGTTTTATGTTTTCACTGATCACATGCACATTCAAACACATCTTAATTCCAGAGCACGGCGAGACCAACAGCAGGATTTCCAACACTGTAATATTTATAACATCCAACAGCGGGGGCAAATATTTACATTTATTAAACATAGCAGTTAGAAAGCCCCCCCACCAGGTCCACTTAGCTACAATAAGATCGAGCAGACACACAGTTGGTGACTTACTTTGGAAAAAAACATTTCTTTCTCTAATTTGGCCTTTTGTTCACTGTAAGCCAACATGTTTCACACTCTGTAAGGCTTTTTGATTTTTTGGTTTTATGTCTGGCTATTACATTACAGTGTAGACAAGGAAAGAAAAATCCAAAGTTCTGACAAATACCAGCACAAAGATGAGATGTGGTTGCTTGAATGTCACAGAATTCAGCTGTTGTCAATGATCATGAAAGTATTTGATTGTTCAGACAGGAAGCTGTTAGGAGCTGCAATAAATCACTTTTATTGAATAATTCCACAAACCTCTTTGTGTTTTTGTCTGTTTGTTTAACACATATCTCTACAACCATTAATCCATTCAGCTGCACAATATAAGAGTAAACAACAGCAGTGGTCTCTAACTGTCCCGCCAGCAATAATATCTGGCCCACCAGATAATTATGATCATTTTTATTTCACCATATGACGTATTTAGTTCAATTTAGTTTAAAAACAAACAAATAATTAAATGAATAGAATAAAAAAGGCACAGAGGTAATCTGATCTACTGAGCGGGCCACATGGCTTTCATAGCACTGCCATACAAGCCAGTAGCCGGTCAGACTTACTTTTAGCCTCTATCAACGTTATTGTGATTAATAGGCTGAAACACTTGATGACACCAAGGTAAAATTGAAGTTATTATTTCTATTACAACAACCAGTCTTAGAGAGCTCAGATGTGATGGTTAAACTGCTCCATGCTCCACAGTTATTATTATTATTATTATTATTATTATTATATCTGACAATCACTTCCTCTTGAGAAATTAGTCCACAAAGTAAAAGCACAATGTTTGTTTAAGTGCTGCAATACTTAATATTGAATGGCATTACAGGGCTTTTCTTTTTGAAGAGTTGTGAACTTGTGTCTGAATATTGTTTAACAGACCTCTGAAATAGAATGACAACAGAGATGAGAACAGTTCCAATTGTGGATAAACTGAAGTGATGGGCGTGGTTTATGCAGATTGCGGCTCTAGTGCCCAATGTTGTGTTTTCTTGGCCAAACTAGAGGGAATTTTATCATTACTATTCAGTATTCACATTTCAAAAAGCACTTCGAATGAATGAGTCTGGGTTCAAGTAAACAGTGTTATCTGCCTCAGTGTGAATACAGCATGAAGCACATCATAGTTAAGACATCACTGCCTTTCTTGATGAAATTTGAATACCTATTGAAATCCTGAACAAATCAAAGTTCTGCGGTTTGATCTGCCTGCGGGCTTAAAGCAGGGACAGACTCCTGAGGCATTGTAGTGCTGGAGCGAATGCACACACACACACACAAGTGACGATAAGAGTAAAACCAGCTGGAGAGAAACAAACACTGACTCATGCAAGCTACAGGGGTCATTTAAAATGCTGAGTATCTTCTTTAGTCATGCGGTGCAGAGAAGTATCATCACTGGAGGGAGACATGATGATCAGTGTGTCACAGCCACAGTGACTGTGAAGCTGACACAACTAAGGGCTTGTTCGTGTGATATATGACGAGTTCACTTGACAGTAAATCATCTCTAACTGGGAACATTGTTTGTTGGTATGCACTTTCTTCATTGGCTCAGACTTGAAACTGGAAGTACCAGAGAGCAACATCCACTCTTTTATAAGATAAAAATTGACATTAAAAAATTAGACAATAAAAAGCGCACTTAACCTAGTCATTTAACCCTGTCATTTATTTTCCACTCAAATCAAGTTATCTTGATTTTCTCAAAATGCCACTCTATCTACTGCAATTAAAAACAAATCTGTCTGGTGATGTTCTGTAGCTTCAGCAGGCTATCAAGGGCATGACAAAATTGTGTTCACTGACTATATCCTGGATGTTCTGGGCTGTGTGTGAGAAAAACAGCTAAATCTAATGGAGGAGAATGGAGCACCTCTGAAGTGTGTGTCTGCTTTCATGTGCTGTTGTGGTACCCTTACAGAATAATGGTGACACTGTGGGGTACAGGAATTTGCATGCGCACAGCCTTTCCCCGTTTGTGTGAGCGAGAAATTGTGTATGTGCGGATGTGTGTGTGTGTTTTGCTTCCTCCGCCATCGCAGCCCAAAGAGAATCCCCCAGTAGAACGGCATTGATCAAAAAGAGGTCAGACAGGGCTATTGAGCTGCCTTCTAAGACATTCTGATTAGTTCGATGGCAACACTGCACCCATTCATCTTGCATGGCAGAACAGGGCCCACCTAAAGTACTGCAGGGCTCACACACACAACATTTGAAAGAATGGAGCTGGGACAATAGCAGCGGTGATAGTAAACAGTTGTGGATGTCTCAGGACCTTCATGACAGTTCTTTCTGAAAATCTGACCGAAGAAACACTGCTTTTAGCCACTGTCAGTAGTGGAACAATTCTAATCTACAGTGACACTTAAAGGTGACACGCTCCTCCACCGCAGTGTGGTTGCAGTGGCCCTGCGGGGTAATTGCAGCGAGAAAGCAGTATCGTCTAACATCGACTTCATGAATGCCAACGTGCTGCTCTCTTTTCCGCCTCCAGGTGTATCAAGGCTTTACCCAATTCACTATACGTTAAGATAAGTGCAGATAAGAGTCCAGTATCAGCTTTGAAGTGTTTCACTGTATTACGTGCTGGGACTGCGTCGGACAAATAACTCTGATCTTTTACACATGGTTTCAGGCATTTAGTCAAAAGATCTATTAATCATGGAGAAATATTACACACAATATACGCTACAGTTAAGAAGATGAATTATGAGAACAATCAGTTACCTATAGCAAGATGGGACCAAATCAATTTCTCTGTTTTTTTTGTCCGGACAAAATCTGAGGTGTAATGATGGTGTAGCATCACGCAGCAGCAGCGGCAGGGGAATGACATTTTGACATTTAAGCCATGATTAAATCACTAGACTATTACTTCCATGTTCAGTAATCCAATAACTGGGAAAAAAATAATTGGGCAAAAAATAATACTCTTAAATTGCAACAGCATGTGCGTTTTCAAGGAAATGTAATTGCTGGATGGATTACGTTCACACTGTCACACCAGACAAGATTTGGATAGACTCCTACATGTTTTGGTTAAGGTATCAAATGCACTTTGGTTAAGGTTATAGGGGAAAATGTTATTATTTATTAGTTAGTAATTATGTTTTGGCCTATTCAGAATGTCTGTGTAGATGCAGGCCATTGTTACAACACAGCCTGAGAGGCTCAATTTACAGACTCACAAAGCAGTAATCATGTCCACACAGCTATGACATCATCAGTGACCTATAAATAATCCTTGTTAATGACAGAAGTAAAATGTAGAATTATATTTAAAGTGTGGAAGCCACAGTTCGTCTCCGGGTTCAGCCAGGGGTCTTTCTGTGTGCGTGCTTTTTCAGGTACTCCAGCTTCCTCCCATAGTTCAAAGACAAGCAGATTGGGGTAAGGTTATTATGACAGTAGGTGTTTGTTTGTCTTTGTAAACCTGATTTCAGACATGAACTTTGCACATTTAGGTCCAGACTTTCTCTGGATTTTGCCTTTTACACACAAACGACACAGCGGCAGATTCTGGGCTCAGTTCAGTCCATGTCTGAAAGCGGCTGACGTCGTGAAGTGGCGATCTATCTGAGATGTGCCCCACCTCATTGTCAAAGTCAGCGGGGATTGGCTGACCCGCAACTCTCAAAGGATAAATGGTACAGACGGATATTTAATGTCCAGTCATCTGTCGTTTTAAATGTGTGTGGCTCTGCCCCGATCAATGCGCCAGACCTCAACTGCTGTCAGAAGCATGTGTAACATGATTGATCTGGACGTGTGCGAGGTGTTTTCAGGTGACATGCTTTTATGAGCTGTATGTGTGAATTATTGTGGATCAGGCGAGTGGCAACACTCTTTCCTTGTCTCTGTGTCTTGTGTATATATGAAACATCTAATAAAAGACACACAGACACATGAGTGCAGTCCATCATAGTCTGGGGGTGACCATGCACCATCATGCATCCATCTGAGAAAAGCAACAGCGCAGTATATTACATACAAGACTGTTAAAAAAAGAGTAATACACACACACACACACACACACACACACACACATCACATGGTGAATGCATTTTAAAAGTTAAGCTTTTTATTTACTAGTAAACTGGTGATTTTTATTTAGTTCCATACAAAGTAGTGATATAAAACAATGACAAAATTTCGGTTTAATTTGAGAACTTTCAGTAAATAATTTGAAGGGTATAAAAACTCGCTTGTCACGTAATTTTTTTTTTAAAACGTTTCTGAATGCGGCTTTGCCCAAGTACAAACTACAGCATCGCAGTGTGCCAGACCTCTGGAAGTGAGAACAGAATTGATCTAAATCAAGCAGTGGCAGCTGGTGTCTACTTCTCCGAGCAGGGATATTGATGAAGGTAAGTGCTATAGACAAATCTGATCTAAAAAAAAACAAATCGCTCAGCGCAGGGAAAATGCTGCTCCAATCAGTGCAAGGTCAGCTACTAATTGTAGCTTCCCATTCATGCTCTCCTTTAAGATATTGGCCAATCTCTTCTTCATGCCCAATGGATAACCACCGCTTTAAACACAGAAGAGGAGGTAATCGCTGAAGGTTAAACGGGCCCAAGAAATTCAAACGTTTTGCACACACACATCGAATCCGGTGTGAGGAAGTGCTCAAATGGAGCTGAAGGCTTGGATGATTCTATATATGGCAAATCTATCCCAATGTGTTTGTCTAGTCCATGACAAGGAAATAAATTGAAATGTCAAAAAGTTGTAATGAATTCTTCCAGTGAGCCAACATTGAGACATGCTGTGCAGAATCTCCAGCGCTGGAGTACTTGGCAAAGAAATAGACAAATGAGCAGCTCATTTCTGATGTTTGATTAAGATCATAGCGTTTTTATAGAGATCAAACCTACTCTTTACTTTCAGTTTAAAACGAAATACCATTTGTGTTTACATACATTCCTATTTTCGCCATGAATCCCCTAAATCATTTATATCAATTTATCAGTCTGATAAGCACACAAAAACCAGGCGCACATGCACAAATTCAACAGCCCTGCGTTATATATCTCTGGGTAAGAATTTAGACTCTACATAACAGTCTTGTTTACTTTGTGACTCCTCCAATTTAGAGCCACTTGATTTATAACACCCATTGTTTTCGTGCTCTGCATACAACTGGAATGAGTATTTTCATTTATGAATGATTGAGTGGATGTGTGTGTGCGTGCAGGACTGATCACTCTTACCTGTCTATGATCGCACACATGTCCAGGCTGACATTCTCAAATGCTCCCACGGTGCCCTTTTCCACCGCATGTAAGTCAGCGAGTTGGTCATCGACCAGGATCGCTTGCATGCAGCCCTGGAAGGAACGCCGGGAGGGTGGGAGCAGGGTCTGCAGAAAATACCCTGCAACCAAGACAGGAGGAAAAACAAACAAATCACAAATTAAAATTTTATCATACACTCCGGGAGGGAAAAAAGTCTTTCCCAACAACTTACAGATTTCCTGCAGCAATGAAACTAAATTAAGTCTTGTAAATGAGGTAAACAATTGCAAAGCCTCTGTCTGCACAAAGGCAGTGATAGAAGAAACTGTGTTACTACACCCTGTGTTGCATTATGATGACAATACTCGACTGCAAATAGTAGCAATGCATAATGATATCAGAATGTGAAATAAACCAATACAATATAATGATGGACTAGTTGGTCAGGGGTTGAAGCTACAGCAAAATAATGATCCAAACCCTGAGAGGAAAGGACCAACACAGTGTTTAGTTCAACAATTAGTTTTCGAGATTCCATGTTTTTAAATCTCATATAATTGATTTGATCTGTGCTTTAACTTCAGACACACTGAGTCTCAAAATTGGAAAACCATAGACCATAGCACTTATCGAGATTGCCACTTGGTGGCTGGCTGCAGTATGGGTGATAAACCCTGTCCCTTCCATGATCAAATATATTTTTCACGAATATGTCTTCTGACATTGCTGTGCAAGTCTTTAAATAGGTTATTAGATGCTATAAAAGCTGGGTGACCGAATGTGGAACCTCAATACTGCCGCTCCATGCCACTGATCACTACTGTGCAGACTCTGGCTCCAAATGTCAACAGACGCTATGATGGCAGCTCCCATGTCCAGTATAGTTTGGCTTCGTTTTTGTACAATGCAGGAAGTCGAGACATGTCGTCCATCTATATATACAATCTGGTTCTGACCAGCGTAGTCGTGTAAATGTATAACAAAACACAGAGTTTGAGATTAATTACCTGAACACAGAACAGACTTAATAAGGAAAAGCAACAGGATGCACAGCAGCTTGTGTTTGAACCATCAAGTGAAGTGTGGGTAGAAGACAATAACAAGGAAAGATGGCTTCTTTTGATCCATGACTTAAAACACACTGAGAAACAAAGACCCTCGGCAGAGGTAGACATCCTCCTTGACGAGGATGGACAACATGACTTGCCTGGTGCTGGGTTATTGTCACTTTTTACAGCCATGAACCTTCATCAGTCCTCTGGTTTTAGAGCTTATCCACAAGGCTCATTAGCCCTAATACCTCTGCTAAGGCCGCAATAGACGAGAGGACATGTAGGTTTTACTATATACTATACCTTTATGAGATACAAGAGTCAATGGCCCATCCAGAGGTAGCACTGGGCCTTGACTGAAACAGGGACAAGGCTAGGGCAAAAGTGTGCACATATGGGAAATGTGAGAGTGTAATAATTATTTTGTACAAATGTCCGTGGATATAGAGGAGGTGTGTATTTATTCCATGTGCAAATCTGTATTTATGCACATGTATATAAGAGTGATGTATGTAGCATGTGCACATCTACAGCTTTTATTGCAGTGTGCGTGCACTGTGGGATGTGGGAGATGAGAGCCTGGAATTCAATCTTTTTCACAACACACAGGTCACTCATAAAACACTGCCGCTCAATGACATCTTCATCATTGTGATGTTATAAGCTGTCACACTCTCTATCGTGCCTATCAGCCTCAAGGCCAGAGCATCAGAGGCTTATTATAGAGGGCATATGCACTCTGTGTGTTTGTTTGTGCGTGCCTGTGTGTTTGTGTACACCAACATAATGATGGTTTATGTGGCTGGCTGACGCAGCAGCAAGTAAAGCGGTGGGAAAGTAAAATGTGTGTGCGTCCGCATGTGTGCTCGGTGCTGGATACATCCGTTTCTTCACATCTTCTGATTTCCCTTTCCACTCCAAAAGTTTCTCCTGTCATCCCTGCCATCTGTCTCTTCTCCTGCCACACCTGTCCGCTGTCTTTCCAGAGGAGTGAGGGACCGACAGACAGAGAGATAGGAGGGAGAGGGAAATACTGAAAAGGGAGGCATAAGAAGATTGAGAACAGAGGCCACTACAGCTGGTTGGCAGCACTTTGTGTCCTCTGGATAGCTTATGAATGCAAGGGAGACACAGCGTTCCTGACAGTTTGGCAGAAGGAACAGAGCAATGCATGGAACCAGGGATGGTAGATGTGTTGCTGGGCTTATCTGTTGGGTGTCCCCTGTTTATTTAACTCATATACTGGCCATTTTGTATGAAGAAAACTGTTAAGACATGCACCTGAGAAGATTGTCTGTATTGAAATTTCTCATGAAACATAAATTGCACACTTTAGCTGAAACTTGAGCTGAAAACTAAGTAACAAAACAGTTTTATGATAAAATATATCTGGGTTTTAATGTCACTTTATTACCAAATATATATCTGCACATGCTCATATCACAGCACAGTATTTCAAACCATCTTGGACGTTGCAGGGCCAATACCTATGTAGAGTCAAATGTCTGGGATGTCTTTACACCATTACCTGCTAACCAAAGGTGGGCGGCCCCCTGCCATCAGCCACCGCTCGTGATATCTGGAAAAATGTGCTCATTTAAAAAACAACAACGTATTGTCTATTCAGAGACGTCCAGCATCCTCTCCTGACCCTTGGCTGTCTTTTCCTCAAACACACACCGATTGAACCACTGGCTGAGACAGCCGCCTGTGCCATGTGGCTCGAGACCACCACGCTCCTCAGAAACGGTTTAGCCCCCGCTGTCTCTGCACCGGCCGTTTGTACCGGATGTCAGAAAAATCCTGTGCTCTAAAGGTATTTTTTTAATTCCCAGGGAGAGGTGCTTCAGCCAAAACATGGGCTGACGTTACACATTTCATCACAAAACAGACATTTTACACTTGAATTGGCTAAATAAGAGTAAAATAATGAATCCACACAGCAGTCAAGCTTCAAATTTCCCCTTATTGTCGCTCAGAAGCCATGAATGTTATTTACCAATTTTAAATACAGTTACTATTTCTTTTCCTGTCAACAAACCAAGAGGCATAATTTCTTTCACTATGCTTCTCAAAAATGTATCATTGTCATATCTAGAAAGCTGTAATGCAGCTGTAGTGACAAACAGAGGAAGATACACAACAAGATTGATGAGCTGGAAGCCAACAGAGAAAAACACTTGGCAAACAAGGAACAGATGTGGCCATACATCTGTGCATCCTCAAGCCATGGCACACCCAGAGCTTAAATCCAAGTATGTGGAAAAAAAAAAAAAAAAGTTTTCCCCCTGAATAAAGTGTTTCTATGTGGCTTTAATTTGTAGTATAAACAAAAACGCTATCTTGTAAGACCCCTGAGGATTTTGGAATGCCAGCAATAATCGCTTGTAGTCTTGCTGGCACTCTATCACAGTCCCCCTGTTGTGCCCAAAGAGCTTCTCTTACAATACACACTGGAGGGCCAGCACCAGCTCTCTTCTACCTGAACACATCAGACAAGCACGGCTGGCTCTCAGGCTGCAGAACACTTGTTTCCACAGCCCAACACATTTAGGGGGGACGAACCAGCTTCCAAAAAAAAAGAAGGTTGGAAATAATCCAAAATGCTCAGAGGTAAGAAAAAAATAAACAAATATTCTGGGGATGCATATTCAAAAGTGACTGTAATTGGTGCCAAAAAACAATATGCAAATTTTTACAAAAATCACAACAAGTTGTGCTCATCTACTTTCCACCTGCTGTTATTCCTCCTTGAGCTATTTCCCTGAAAGGGGCCAGACGCAAAATCCACTCTTTCATGTCTGTTCAACATAAATGTCTCCAGTGAGTCTGTAGACCACCTTCTCTCCTTTTCATCCAGTAAAGTGGGTGAGAAGAAGCAAATCAGATCTTTCTTCCCTGTTGACGTCAAAAAGTAATCTGTTTAGTTGAGGACCTCCTCCAACCTCTCCGCTTGCTAAAAATCACCACGCACAAAAAAATTGTTGCTGAACCTTCCCAACCAACTCCACAAAAAAAAAAATGTTGGCTGTATTAACCAGGTTCTTCCCTCAATCTGAGGAAGTAAACGATTGGTGGTAAATGTCTCCAAGACAACTTCAAAATATCATTGTCAGTTCAAAACAGGATTTAGTTCAAAACTGAAGCTCAAGGACGGATAGATACAGACCCAATTTAAACTTTGAATCTGTGAGCTGCCATGTTTTAATGGAGTTTAACAGTATATTTTAGCAATTGGGAATTGGAAATGAGGGTGCGGCTCACACAAAAAGAAATTTCACCTGTCTAAACCATATGATAGTAGGAAATATGCATTTAGGGTTTCTCCAAATCCGATTTTGCCATTCTAGAAAAATAAAACAAACAAAGAAAAGAGCTGAAAAATATCAAAGCTGAAAAAAGGTTACCAGGTACATGACTCAGAAGGCACTCAGTCTTGAAATCAATCATGTGTGAGTGTGTTTTGTGTATAACATGCAAATAAACTAATAAAGGTTCAATCTCCCATTCTACCTAAGAGCCTGGTGCGCTTGTTCATGTACGTGTAAATTACTATCTCCATAATACGCTTCAAAATGAAATAAAAATTAATTTTTGTTGCTCAATAACACGATCACTTTCTAATGCCTTAAGACAGCCATGTGCCAACAATGCTCTTGACCACAGCTCATTCCAAGACCAACACGCCCATGGGTGCTCAGATGGTTCAAGTGCATCTGCAATCTGAACGTGGGCGCTGGAATGCAAAAAGGACAACTGCACACACTCTTTGGATGCACCTGACATCGCTTTGCTCCGGGTGGGAGACAGAAGGTGAAAGAAGGTGCAGCAGACGGGCAAAGTAAAAGAAAAGTTTTTGAATGTTGTAGTATGAACTGGAAAATGAGCACATGTTCGCTTCAAAAACAGCAACACTGGTAGATAGACCAGCAGCACTTTATGGAGCACATTCTAAAGGAACATAACATATATGCATATCAGACATTACTGCACACATTTATAGGATGATATGTAGCACCCATGGCAGATGAGTGTGCAGTGTACGAACACTCATGTACACACTTGCACCCATGCACATATACAGACA